GAGGGCCGCGGGTTGCCGACCCCTGAGCTAGACCAACAACCAATCACCTGAATCTCCCGCCCCGGACACACAAGCAGCGGTTTGATTGGCTAGAGCCAAGTACTGGCATATACGCCTCGAAGCTTCAAAAGTATAACATTGCTCTACTTTTGAAGCGAGCAAAGCTATGCTTTGCTCCCATAATGCAGTTCGGTGAAGCGTGACGTCACCCCATTCAAAGTGAATGGGCAGAAGCGTGTGTAGGGGCCGTTACTATACTGTTCTTCTTGAAAATACATAATTTGCAATATCTTTTTGGGCCGTAAATCAATATACTTATGTTATTATTGGGAGGCGTGTGGCACAGTGGATAGCGTTGGTGTTTGGATCAAGGGAGCACAGGTTCAAACCCCACTGCAGTCAGCATGTCGTTTCGTCCCTGGGCAAGACACTTCACCCCAAATTGCTCCTGTGAGGATTGCCCACAGTAACAGTATTGAGTATGTAAGTCGCTTTGGATAAAAGCGTCTAACAAGTAACATATAATGTAATGTAATTTTAAGTTTGCACATCTTTATTTACAATTTTTTTCAAATGTACATGTCTTAATTTCAAACCTTAAAGGTCCCATGTCCTGGCCATTTCTACTGATCATAATTCCATTGTTGAGGTCTACTAAAATAGATTCATATTGTGCAATTTTCCAAACTCACATTGGTTTCTCATACAGCATCTCTGTATAGTATGTGTATTCACTCTCTGTCCTAAACGGCTTGTTGGAGCTCCTGCCCCCCCCCCCTCCCTGTGAGCCCAGTGTGCTCTGATTGGTCGCGACGTTGAGGTTCATTGCTGCTCGCAGCTGCTGCTCGCTGCTGCAAGAAGCAGACAGGCTTCCGTGTCGGCGATACACAGAGAACAAGCGAAACTCATCCTGAGCACACACAAACATCCATCCATCCATCCATCTTCTCCCGCTTATCTGTGGTCGCGTCGCGGGGGTAGCAGTTCCAGCAGAGAGCCCCAAACTTTCTTTTCCCTGGCGACATCAACCAGCTCTGACTGGGGGATCCCAAGGCGCTCCCAGGCCAGCGAAGAGATATAATCCCTCCACCTGGTCCATGGTCTACATCTTGGTCTCTTCCCAGTTGGACGTGCCTGGAACACCTCCCTAGGGAGGCGCCCAGGTGGCATCCTAACTAGGTGCCCGAACCACCTCAACTGGCTCCTTTCGACGCGAAGGAGGAGCGGCTCAACTCCGAGTCCCTCCCTGATGACCGAACTTCTCACCTTATCCCTAAGGGAGACACCAGCCACCATGCGGAGAAAACCCATCTCGGCCGCTTGTATCCGCGATCTCGTTCTTTCGGTCATGACCCATCCTTCATGACCATAGGTGAGGGTAGGAACGAAAATGGCCCGGTAGACGGAGAGCTTTGCCTTCTGGCTCAGCTTCCTTTTCGTCACAACGGTGCGGTAAAGCGACTGCAGTACCGCTCCCGCTGCTCTGATTCTCCGGCCCATCTCACGCTCCATTGTTCCCTCACTCGAGAACAAGACCCCGAGATACTTGAACTCCTTCACTTGGGGTAAGGACTCATTCCCTACTTGGAGTGGACAGTCCATCGGTTTCCTGCTGAGAACCATGGCCTCAGATTTGGAGGTGCTGATCCTCATCCCAGCCGCTTCACACTCGGTTGCGAACCGATCCAGTGAGTGCTGAAGGTCGCAGACCGATGAAGCCATTAGAACCACATCATCTGCAAAAAGCAGTGGTGCAATCCTTAGTCCACCGAACTGCAGACCCCCTCCCCCATGACTACGCCTCGAAATCCGATCCATGTATATTACAAACAGGATTGGTGACAAAGCGCAGCCCTGGCGGAGGCCAACCCTAACCGGAAATGGGTCCGACTTACTGCCGAGGACCCGGACACAGCTCTCGCTTTGGGAGTACAGAGATTGGATGGCCTTGAGTAGAGACCCCCTCACCCCATACTCCCGCAGCACCTCCCACAGTAACTCCCTGGGAACTCGGTCATACGCCTTCTCCAAGTCTACAAAACACATGTAGACCGGATAAGCGTACTCCCAGGCCCCCTCCAGGATCCTTGCGAGAGTAAAAAGCTGATCCGTCGTTCCACGACCAGGACGGAATCCGCATTGTTCCTCCTCAATCTGAGGTTCGACAATCGGCCTGACCCTCCTTTCGAGTACCTTAGAGTAAACTTTCCCGGGGAGGCTGAGTAGTGTGATGCCTCTGTAATTGGCACACACCCTCTGATCCCCCTTTTTAAAAAGGGGAACCACCACCCCGGTCTGCCACTCCTTCGGTACCGTTTCCGACTTCCACGCAACATTGATGAGACGTGTCAACCATGACAGTCCCTCAACACCCAGAGCCTTCAGCATTTCCGGGCGGATCTCATCCACCCCCGGTGCTTTGCCACTGTGGAGTTGTTTGACGACCTCAGTGACCTCCCCCCGGGAGATTGGTGTTGATCCCCCGTCATACTCCAGCTCTGCCTCTAACATAAAGGGCGGAGTTGTCGGGTTCAGGAGTTCCTCAAAGTGTTCCTTCCAACGCCCTAACACTCCATCAGTTGAGGTCAACAACGTCCCATCCTTACTGTACACAGCTTGGATGGTTCCCTGCTTCCCCCTCCTGAGGTGTCGGACAGTTTTCCAGAACAACTTTGGTGCCGCCCGAAAGTCCTTCTCCATGTCTTCTCCGAACTTCTCCCACACCCGCTGCTTTGCCTCGGCCACGGATGAGGCTGCTGCCCTTCGGGCCTGTCGGTACCTTGCAACTGCCTCGGGAGTCCCCCGGGATAAGAAATCCCTGAAGGCCTCCTTCTTCAGTCGGACGGCTTCCCTGACCACCGGTGTCCACCAGGAGGTTCGAGGGTTACCGCCCCTTGAGGCACCTAGGACCTTGAGACCACAGCTCCCCGCCGCGGCTTCGGCAATAGAGGCTTTGAACACCGACCACTCTGGTTCAATGTCCCCAACCTCCACAGGAAAAGCTCCGCCGGAGGTGTGAGTTGAAGGCCTCCTGAACTTGGGCCTCCTCCAGACGTTCCCAGTTCACCCGAACTACACGTTTGGGCTTACCAGGTCTATCCAGAGGCTTCCCCCGCCACTCGACCCAACTCACCACCAGATGGTGATCAGTTGACAACTCCGCCCCTCTCTTTACCCGAGTGTCCAAAACATACGGCCTCAGGTCCGATGATACGATAACGAAATCGATCATGGACCTTCTGCCTAGGGTGTTCTGGTACCACGTACACTTATGAGCATCCTTATGTTCGAACATGGTGTTTGTTATGGCCAATCCATGACTAGCACAGAAGTCCAGTAACAAACCACCACTCCGGTTCAGATCAGGGGTGCCGTTCCTCCCAATCACGCCCCTCCAAGTGTCTCCCTCATTGCCCACATGTGCGTTGAAGTCTCCCAGCAAGATTAAAGAGTCCCCTTCAGGAGCCCCATACAGGACTCTTTCCAGGGTCTCCAAGAAGGTACTCTGAACTGCTGTTGGGTGCATAAGCACACACAACAGTCAGAGTTTTCCCCCCCATAACCCGCAGGCGTAGGGAGGCGACCCTCTCGTCCACTGGGGTAAACTCCAACAACGAAGCACCTAACCGGGGACTTGTGAGTATCCCCACACCCGCCTGGCGCCTCACACCTTGAGCAACTCCGGAGAAGAATAGAGTCCAACCCCTATCCAGAAGTAAGGTTCCAGAGCCGACGCTGTGCGTAGAGGTGAGCCCAACCAGATCCAACTGGTAACGCTCCACCTCCCGCACAAGCTCCGGCTCCTTCCCCCCCAGAGAGGTGACGTTCCACGTCCCCAAAGCCAGCTTCTGTCGCCTGGGTCTGGTCCGTCGAGACCCTCCGCTTTCACTGCCACCCTTCTGGCAGCGCACCCGACCCCATCGCTGTTTCCCGTAGGTGGTGGGCCCGCGGGACGGAGAAGCGGAGGTGTTGCCCACGTTGCCTTTTCGGGCTGGGCCCGGCCGGGCTCCGTGGCAAGCCCGGCCACCTTTAACGCTACTGTCCACCTGAGTGGACATATAAAACATTTATTTTCTATATTTGAAAAGACTAGATAAAAAGAAACTAAAGTTAAAATCTTGTTGTTCATGCCCCAAGAGCAATAAAAACACTTGGTAAAAAAATCCTGACTGAGGTTTTCATAATTCATGCATGAAAGGGAGACCTACGTTTTTCATCATGCATTATAACTTATAAAACCTGTAAAATCTTGGTCACGACTGTTTTCTGTTTTGAATTTTAACAGTGGGTTATGTTGACATTCCAGTAATTAAATTATACAGGGGTTATAACATTTTGTAGAGGGTATTTAATACCTTTAAATCCTGAACCCATGTGATGTTTTTGTAAGAAAACAAGATACTTTGTGTCTTGCACTGTCCATGCATGTCAGCATTCATGAACAATGGTTCAATGTTATTATCAATCAGATGTAATGAAGACAAAATATGATATTTCACCTGCTAAACAGGTAGTTAAGGGTTAAGAGACCTTGCACTTAGTTTAATGTAGCACAGCCTTGTGCCCAAATGTATCACTTCACTGGTGTTAACAGATGGGGGAGCTATTGACTAACGTATACACTGCTGCCCCCTCCACCCCCCCAAAAGCACACACACTCTTAACATCCATCAATTAGATACTACCTTAAATAAATGGAGGTTCTTAGTAGGTTATTAAATGCTAATCAGATTTAGCTTTAACTCTGTCATTTTGATGATAGGCATACAATACGCAACTATGGAAATAATGACACTATTGGCAATTCTCCTCATACAAAACAGCTTTGCTTTTTAGTCCTAACAGCCTAAATTAACTTTATGTTGTTGCTCTGATGACAAATTGGGCCACACTACATTGTTTTAACCGGGGCCATTAAATCTGCTCTGTTGCACACAGGCCTATGTACATTTGGTGGCGCACGCATGGCGCACAGAGCCAAAGATAGAGTAACAAATCAGGAATTTCCCTCCTGCCACTCCTGAGAGCGCAAGAGAGGACAAACGTTACGGATTAAGCGCTTCTCCTCAGAGAGGAAAAAGCGAAAGGCAGCTGATTCGCCTCCATTTCTTTGTCAATCAGCATATCTACACGTTTCCACGCTCCTTCAGGGCATTGTTTTGGAAAAGAAATGTGTTTTATATCATTATGAGTCTCGAATCACGGGCTATGTATTACGACCTCTTTTAGAACATTTGGTGGAATAAACGGGGCACTGTCGGAAAACAGCATTTATCAAGAATACCGTGATTTGCAGGTTTCGGTTTTAGGACTTTTTTTCCGGCTGTTCGGTTGGGATTGCTGTCGCTGGTCACTTCTTTTGCCTCTGAGTTTCTGGGTGTTCGTAGGTGGCTGCAAGAGTTCTCCAAACACATTTTTGGACAAGGATTTTATGTTTACTCAGCAGATACATCTGGATTATACTCGGATTGTTTAAAAGCCAGTGCAAAGCCATCATCATTACTTTTCGGAGAAGGGAAATGCGGAGTAAAAACGGCGTCTAGAAGGATGCTGCTGCTTGTACAATGGAAGTGAAGAACTCTTTTGCTGTTGTTGCGGTGGTTTGTCTGTTCTTTTGCTCCAGTGTCAGCCAAGAACTCAACCCCAAAGGCAGAAATGTATGCAAAGCACCTGGGTAAGCATCCACGCAGAACAAGATGGGTTTATTTGTTGTTTATTCAAGTCAGCGTGTTGTTAGTTTTCCTTGTTTCCTTCATTCTCCCTTGCTTCAAAAGGCGACTTACTTTAAAACAATGAGTTGAGGTTGCACTAAATTAAAGTTATAATCTCATTCCTGAAGTCAGTTGCTAGTTATAATGATTTATTAGGATTTTGAAAATGCAGAAGACATCAATCAATATCTTGATAAAGCATTCACATTTTTAACAGTGTTCGCCTATGCACGTATAACGGTTTTCGGCAAAGTGGGGAAATGTAATGTTGATATTTGAAATCAACCACTGACTTCCTACATTTAACTTGTATTATTCAAGCATTCATATCAACATACATATTTGATGCATTCCTTTACGTTGAATACGTTGTTTTCTAACGTATTGCCAGTATAGCAGGAGTCCATTGAAGAAAGCAGCTATACAGATGTGTACATCTGGAACAGGATGTTTTGCAATGCTCTCTAGGGGGCGCTCTCGTTGACCTTCACAGTATTCTTGGCACCGTTTGATATCACATTGTGGTTGTTAATACATTTTTAGATTTTAGTTTTTATAAAATATTTTCACATTATTAAAGCAAACAACTTTGGTGGAAAGTTGATATTTATTAATTAAAGATAAAAGAAGTGAAAGGATTACAATCTAATTAACATCTCTCTTCTTTAAAAGTGAAGGCTTCAAAAAGCATCTCTTGATGACCTCTTACAACTTGTGGATTTCTGGTGTATAAAAAAATAAAATAACCAACGTCCAAATTGCTGACTGCAGCAGCCAAACGTTTTGGACTGATGTCTATGAATTTTGTGATAGTGGACAGAAGTGTAATCAAGGCATTATTCTCGTTTGTGCTATAAAAGACAAGAGTGATAGGAAACCATGTGATTGATATAATTAGTGTCTTGTTAAAAAAAAAAAACAGTGCATTTGAAAAGCCAAACAGCGCTATCATGCAGTCAGAATGAAAAGTAAAGTCAGCAAGACCTGACCTTTAAAGTTGAAGTTATGTTGTCATCTCATATATTGTTGTGTGCTTTTCTAGGCAACAAAGAGTCATTTACAAGAAACATAATGCCCTTTTAGTGATGTGTGAAGTTTTTTTTACCTGATATGCAAGTTTGACATTTTGCCCCCCTTCCTGTGTTCAACATGCATTGCAGTGAACTCTTCGCTCACCACTTACCCATTCTGTTTTAATATGTTCTGAATTGAATGCAATGCTTTCAACACTGATGCCTAAAAATAGGTTTTTCAATCAGTTAAAGAGCTGCTATTGAATTTATTGGCAAAGGCAGTTGATACGTGTGTTATGTAATAATGAAAAGCAAACAGAAATGAAGCTATGCTTCTAAACACCAAATTAGTTATAAACAACAGTGAATGCAATCTTTCTTTTTTTTGTGCTGACAATGATTGATGTGGTACAGCTGCTGAAAGTTAAATCTAGTTCCACATTATGCACATAAAATGAAAGTCCTATTTAGAAACCATTTTTATTCCATAACAAGTAAAAGCATACAGAGCTTGGACCTGTGATCTCTTCGAAGCGCCTATTTTGGCAACATAAAAAACAGTGCAGCTCCTTGCTCATTGACTGAAAGCAAACTGCCATCTTCAAACACTTAAGGGGGAAGCTGACGTGTTGCAGGGGCCCCGCAGAGGTCAAAGGCGTGGGAGGAAGACGAGACACATCCGTCCTTTCCTGACAGGCCTTAAACTTGGCTGCTAAATGTTGTCTCTGAGTTTTTACATTTCCCCCGTAACACACCTAAATAAACTAAGAAACCACACAGACTCAGGGGTTATCAGCTTTTGAGTGAATGAGCTGTATGAGAATGGGAATGACCTATATACAGATAATTATACAACCATGTTGTAGGCTATGTGTCATGAATGCCCTGCATACGTTTGCAGAATTTGGCACCAGCCACATCAATATAACTGGGAGATTAGAGAGGCATGAGTTGGGTGTGGATGCTGTCATTTGGATATGTGTTTGTTTCATTACAGTTTAGCCATGTTCTTCATCATTTTCAATCCCGTAATTTATTTTCCAGATCATCAGGATTTGTGTGCTGCAGTGGATGGGGGCAGCTAGGCGTTGAATGCTCGACACGTATGTACCGCACAGACATCATTTATAAGTACATGTCGTACAGTTCATTGTACCAGTTGAATAATGTGTTCAATTCTTCTTTACCCAAGCTCTCTGTGAAGGCAACTTCACCTGCAAGGAAAATGAGGTGTGTGTCAGGCCGAATGAATGTCGCTGTCGTCATGGATACTTTGGAGCTAGCTGTGACACTAGTAAGCAAGTTTTTTTTTAGCAGCATTTCTGCCTTTTGTCTCTCGTCCATGGTGTTTAAAGGTTAATGTTAGTGGCATGGCTTTGATTGGCAATGTTTATTTTTTATATATAAGTTTCCAACTTTGTTCCAGAGTACAATATCTAAACAACTAAAGTCCTCCTGGGTTGGAATGACATATGTTTATTGGCAAACCTGGAAGTTAGCATTGCACTGGTTCCCTCGGCAAAAAGCTAATGTGGGCAATGTAGTGTCAATTGGATATTTGTTCTTGTTGTTATTAAGAAGTTTTGCAAACAAAATATTATGATATTTACAATTTTTTTTGCAGAATAATATTCACACATTAACAACACTTTTATGATTTTTGAAGAATAAATTAAAAGCAAAGAAATTCACTTTTCTCGTAGAACAACATGTTCATTGTTTTAAGCTCATGTTAACAACATACCCTACTTCAAGCAAATAACCAAAAACACATTCACCTATTGAGTCCAAGTCAAACAAATACTAGTACAATCCTAAACATTGCACCTGTCCTTCATGTTAAAATTGCTGTTTGGATCATGTAGCCATGCTAGGCACAACGCACCACTGAGAGAGACAGTAGCTTTGCTTTAGACTGTCACTTTGTTTTGTATATTTGACAAGTCACATTAGTATTTACCATTTCCTGATTAATCTGCTCTCTAACAACAGAGTGCCCTACACAGTTCTGGGGCCCTGACTGCAAGGGAAAATGTCAATGTTACCCCAACGGCCAGTGTGATGACTTGACTGGCGAGTGTACCTGCAACCACAATCGTTGGGGACCTAACTGCGAGAATCCTTGCTTATGCAAAAATGGCAAGTGTGACCAAGAGACTGGCAAATGCACATGTCACCCGGGCGCCTGGGGTCCCCAGTGCAATAACAACTGCCACTGTACCAGCAACTCTGTCTGTGATGCAATGACGGGCCGATGTATGTGCAATCCTGGTTGGATGGGGAGGAGCTGTGGAACTCAGTGTAACTGTAACGGCTCACCATGCGACCAGTTCATGGGGCGCTGCCAGTGCCGGGAGAGGCTGTGGGGCCAACACTGTGAGCGCTACTGCCAATGCATCCACGGCAAGTGCAACCAGGCTGACGGTTCCTGCACCTGCACACCAGGGTACCGTGGGAAGTTCTGCAGAGAACCATGTCCTGCCGGATTCTATGGTCAAAACTGCAGGAACAGGTGGGGAAAAAGTCTTGGCAACACTTTTACAGATGCCTAATGTTCAATGTTCTTGTTTGATCCATATCATGGTGTGGTTTTGTGGTTTTAATAGGAAATAAGATTTTATATTTGCTGTGGTTGATAACCCTCAAAATGTCTCAGTGTTTTACTTAATGGTGCAATAATAAAGTGAGGTTTGGGAGTTGGTATTCACATTACCCATAATCGTCAGCCAACATTCAAAAGCAATTCAGGTTAAGTGTTTTACCTTCCATGGACTGTGAAATTCTCACATGATACAATTCCTTTAAAGTAAAAAGAACAGGGTTATAGTTTAATGCAGTTAGCTCCCAAATAAATGATAATTGATGCAACAATGAAAGGGGTTAAGGTAAACTGTTTTACTTCATTAAAATATGATGAAGGATCTTTCGTGCAAACCTGATAAATGACCTTTTCTTTCTTCTTCCCTGCTGACCACAGATGTGGGCACTGCAAGGGCCAGCAGCCCTGTAAGGTGACGGAGGGACGCTGCATCACCTGTGACCGAGGTTGGAATGGAACACGATGCGACCAGCTCTGCTTAAAGGGCTACTTTGGCGAAAATTGCCAGGAAGTATGTCCTCTCTGTAAAGATGGTCACCACTGTGATCCTATTCATGGCAAGTGCTCTCACTGTAACGCTGGCTGGATTGGGGACAGGTAAGACAACACGAAAATATTTCGTTTTTCTGTTAGGTCTGCATTTTTACATTGAGCTATGTAATTTTCAAAGTTAAAAACATTGGTTCCTTTAAGTAGTAGCTACTGTAATATTGCTTTCCATTCAGTAATAATGTCTGTGACGCATATGTCTTAGCTTGAAAATTACTGTAATCATTTAATTCCTTTTGTGTATAATAGGTGTGAGGTGCGCTGCCCCAACGGCACATATGGCGAGAACTGTGAGAACAACTGCAGTCACTGTTTTAACGGCATCTGTCATGTTGTCACCGGAGAGTGCTTGTGCGACCCTGGATTTTATGGCACCTAGTAAGTCTTAAGACACCTCATACGCAAAAAAAACTCACGCTTGTGCTTTGCAATATAAAGAGAAATTGGTCCATAGATTTGTATTACGTTTTTGTCAAACACTTAAATAATTTGAGAATTACACAAGCAAAGCATGTGTTTTGGGGCGTGTTGTTACAGATACTGATAAAGAATACTCTTTAAAAGTGGGAATGATTTAGCTTGGAACAAAAAACTGATCCCATTCATGACTTTTCTCACTTTCTGCATCAAATGTCTTGCACCTGTCAGTTGGATTGAACATTAAACAGATGTTGTTTTTGTCTGTACTCAAGCTGCAATATGACCTGTCAACCTGGCCAGTATGGAGTAAACTGCAACCAAACCTGCTCCTGCAATGACAAGAACTGTGATCCTGTGTCTGGTGCTTGCCATCTCCGTAAGAATGTTTTATTTTCTCTAAGGACATGCAAATGCTTTTTAGATGCAATGTTTTAAAGGTATTCCTGTGGATAGCAGTTGTCAGAAACTAGTGTTTTTCCAAATAACGTACCTTTTCAGAGACACACAAAAACTGCTATTTTCTTACTTTTATTACTCATACCAAAGGAATTATAACTTTTCTGAACTGTTTGTCCAAAGAGCCAGATGCCACTACTGCTGCCTGTGTATTCAGTGTCTCATAGTTGGCTGGAAACACTAAGTACCAACAAACACTTCTATTCAGGTCAGCATGTGTAGTGGGAGAGTTAACTTAGCAAGGCCTTGATAGCGTTTCCAGACCCAGACCGCTGTCCTTTTTATGGCTGTGTTTGTTGGCTCTGTTCCTGTCCAGCCAGAGAGAGAGGGAAGAGAGAGCGAGAGAAAGAGGAACTAGGAAATAGGAGCTCATTGTAGGCGGTCAGGACGAAGTTGTTTAGGATACAAAGGTAGGAATGATTTCAGCCAGTAGACATCATGGGCAGTGGCAGTTCGAAACCATCATGAGCTCTAGAAATTATGTAAATGACAAATTGGTTCATTATCCAATGATGAAATGTTATTGACCTGTGTAACTTCAAATGTTTTTGAGCATGGAATTGTGTGAAGACGCTTATCTCGTTTCCTTCAATAAAGGATAGTGTCATCTGCTAAAGGAGATAAAACGGAGGCATTGAAGGACCTTTTCTTAGCATTTAAGGAATTTCCTATGCATTTGACTGCCTCCATTGTCACTTTTACATGACTTCCCCACCCATAACGTTTCCCAATCTGTATCCAGCTGTGAGCATATAGCAATGACAACATGCCACGCCCAGACTGCCTAACAATCCATCTCAGCCTTATGTGACAGTGTAAAGATCCGACGGCCGGCGCTACTTAAAGCCATACTGATGGTTTGCTTGTCTTCTGGTGTCATCTGTCCATGCTAGCGCCAAAGGCAGTCAATGCTTATGCAATACAGCACGTTTTATCTCTGGGGTGTATCCCACTGGAAGAGGGAGGGGTGTTTAATAAATCATCGATGACTTAGGAGTGGGAGGCAGGGACGGGTGGGCGGTTGCTTGCAGGAAATCAGCAATGAAAGCACAAGTGGTCCTGTGTCTTGAGGGAGATAAGATTAATAGTGAATTAATGGTAGTGAATTTCAGCCTGTTGCAGTATTCCCCAGGGATGCTTCATGTCATCAGCTATTGAAAATCAATTGTTAACACAGCTCTGTGCTTTATCTTTATTATCAAAGCCAACCATCACATTAATAAAGATCATATAGAGTTAGCTAAGCACTCTCCTGAAGTCATTTTAATTCACTTGTACAGTAAATCATGATAATTTGCTAAGGTCTCTAGTGCTAGTGATGACAGAGAGAGAGAGATTTGTTGAAACTGGCATTAAAATGTTGCTGCGCCAATGTGGCACACCCATGATTCTCTGCTTCTCGTCTTTCAGTGCCCAACCAGCGGATGGGCGTGATCGCGGCTGGAACCTTGGTCTCTTTTTTACTGATTGTCCTCCTCTCACTGCTGTGCTGCTGCTGCCTGTGTCGACACAAAGAAGACCACAAGTGAGTGACAGATAGTTGTCTTCACCTCTATGGCCGACACAGGGGCTCGAGTTACATTACATGTCACTTTTTAGACGCTTTTATCCAAAGCGACTTACATACTTAATACTGTGGGCAACCCCCACAGGAGCAAGATCCTAGTAGGAGGCTTGACCTGGTTATGAAAATAGAGGAACATATTTTCTTTCTACTCTATCTCACAGGTACCAGGTTGTTAAATTAATAAATGCATTTCAATTGTATTTCAAGTGCTCTTGTATATTGACATAACAGTGTGAGTAGCAATGTGAGCAGCCCCAGAGTCCTCAAAAGAGGCATGGGGCCAGGTTTAATATGCCTCTTTTGAATGATTCATTTGGATTTCCATGCCGTCATCCCTTTTCAATCCTGACCAAGACATCTCTACCAACAGCAAAAAAGCCAAGCGGATCCTGTGTGGACGATTCAGCCGAATCAGCACTAAACTTCCCCGTATTCCACTGAGGCGACAGAAACTGCCCAAAGTTGTCGGTAAGCCCCAAAACTCTTCCTCATATCCCACAGCAGGGCTGCCAGAAGCTGCTGTGTTTTATGTAATCATCCTCTCTGGTGATTTTACAACACAGGCTGCTAAAGCCACATCACTCATAGCTTCATTAAAGTAGCAATTGAAAATATTTTTGCTTTGTGTATTTATCAAGAGGTTAATGTTGATTGCACAATGACAAAATAATAACAAATTACACATTGAAATTACATTCTGTAACCCCTAGTCGTGATCTCCCCTCAGCTCAACTCAACAAAATGGCTAGCTTTCCCCAATATCAACCATAGTAGCTATATTAATGGGTGTTTTAGTCCTTCTTTATCATAGCACTTAAATCAGGGCTTTGATTACTGTGCTTATGGTAGGATTATTACAATTTCTTTCTTGCTTTGGACAGTAATGTTTGCCTGGCTGCCAGCGGTAGCTACGTTGATACTGTCTGCGTTGCGCAGTTTGTTAGACAAACGCAGTATGCATTTATGTGTTGCTGGTAGCTTATCGAAAACAGAAAGTGATGTGTTTGTCTTTGTGACAGCGGCACGAACAATAATATCCCTCTGAAACACTGGAGGGGTGAAATCTGTTGCCACTTCAAAAGCCAATGCATACTTATCACAGACCAGTAAATAAAGGTTATTTAGACTTGACATGATATAAAGTTGTTTCACAAGCTCTCAGTGCTTTTATATACGTCTTCAGCTTATCACAGCAGGGACAATGACAGCAATGCACAGCAATCAGATTTACCATTTTTCCTCAGTCGTCTCAGATGATAAATAGGGTTGAAGAGTGTATGGTGGCTGCCAGGCGAGTATGGGGTTTCATTTGAAAGGAATGCACTGGTTTTAGAGCTCCTTATTATATTTGGCACCCTCAAATGCCATGTGTTCATATTATTACAACCCTAAACTGGGGCTTTTTTTTCTCCCCATTTTCTTTACTTCCATCATCTTCTTCCCCAAGTAGTTTTTTCTGGGACTGAGGAGAAGGCTGTGTTATTAAAAGAAGGCCAGTGGTTGTCGGGGGGCCCGGGTGGTGGTGAGTGACGCGCTATCAAAGGCCACACTGTTTGGGTGGACGCTCTGCTGCTCCATGCGGAGGTCTCGTGGTCTGTGACAGATCTGTCTGTGACCCCAGTCCTATATTCACAGCCAACAGAGAATATATGATATATTTAAAAACACTACACACAATGCAAAATAGCTACTTAAATACATACTTAAATATATAAATGTTGCCCCTATAAGCTATGCTATATCACCAAAATGATTTCCCTCTTCTGACAATACATGCAAATGCAGAGTAAATGAGTTGTTATTCCTGCATATCAGAACAGCAATACTGTTCAACGACTTTATGTAATTTCCAATATTTTCAAGCATGGAAATATTCATCTTACTTTTCAGACCTATGTAGAAGCCCATTTGTATTAACTGTGCAAATGTTTTTACTTACTAATTGAAGTATGAGATTAATACTGTTTACCTAACAGCACTGACAGAATATGGGGATGACATTTTCAGTATTGCTGAAGCAATTAGTAATTTATTGAATGATTACACTGACAGAAAGTTAATAAACAGCAATTATCATAATCGATTTATTGTTAAAAATCATTCATCGAGATATAAACCCAAACATTCTCTGGCTCCCGTTTGCCAAATATGCTGCACTCTCTGACAAAGCAAGCCAAGGGAGTGGGTAACGGGAACTTTTAAATGGGAATCTTTCTCGAACGTTCTAGGGAATCTTTTTCCAATGTTTTAAGTTTCAATGATTGACTAGTACAACAAATACATATTCAAAGTGTTACACAGCAGTTTTCCTAACATTGCTTCAGTTTAAACATTGTTATGAAGCAGTCTAATTAGATGTTCCTTAAAGGGTTCTCCTGAAGTCAGGGTACTGTAGAAGAAGTTGATGACCGGGTTTCTTTTCCATGTCTGAGCAGCATGCGCCTCCTCAGCTATTCTTTAAGCTAGTCCCAATCATGCCTCAGTCAAAATGCAATACTGGGACAGACTTGCCTTTGTCATCAGTGTGGGACATTAATACGCTTGTTTATGGAGAGCCTGACCATGTGAAGCAATGTGCCAGAGGCCTAAAAAAGCAACGTCATCTTAGCCAAATGTGTTTTTTTTTAAAAGATCGATCATATAAGACAAGCTTGTGCCAATCAAATGACAGTTCAGACATCAATACCCAGTCAAATATATTACTGGTATGCATCGCTGTCATCCTTTCTGGTTTGTCCTATTCAAATGTTTGCTTCCTTGCTTTCTCTTGGATTACCCGCAGAAGCTTGGTCTGCCAACATTTTAGAAACCCTAACTCTGACTGGGGCTACACAGTCCTGCACACATGCATTCCAGAGGGGGCCCAATGGGGCTGGAAACAGGAAGTGGTCACATTTACCCCAGCCTGTGTCAGAACTGTGATTTATCCACACCAGGGTCAGTGGCAACAGATGTGGCAAGACAAAATAAAAACGAAAAGGGGGAAGTATAGGAAAGTAAGACAACATTTACCTCTCTGTTAGAAAAGGAGAAATAGCTACATGAACCTCTTGGCAAAACTAAGGCTGTTTGTTTGTAGTTTGGCATTCCATTCTAAACATTTACCCCACGCCCAACAGATTCACGTCTGTCCGGCATTCCTCACATCCTTTGTGTCCAAATGTTTCCCCTCGGGTAAGGGTTGAGAGCAGCGCCACCTGCTTTTTTTCATCTCTATTTATCCTGGGAAAGTTAGATGGAATTGCAAATGTGTTTGCAGCAACACTCAACCATACATTCGTGCAGTTGTGAGATGCCTAAAGGAAACGTTCCCACACCCTAAAGTCCTTCTTGAGTGCATTTAACTAAGTGGCAGTACATGCTTTCACTTATCATTATGAAGTAAAAGTTAATTGCACAATGTAATGGCTGTAGATATCATCCATGTTTGACTGGTTCCTTTTAAGCCTAATTTAACAACAAGTTGTTAAGTAATGTGTCTGCTTTTAGGTTGCAAACTCCCCTCACGATAAACATACTTGACATATTCCATCATTGCTTAGCCGCCTAGCATTTTATTAATGCAACTCAACAAAATAGCTAACAGTAGAAAGGTAGCGAAAAGATGATAACTGTGAAAACTTTTCCCGCTAAAAAAAAGTTCATCCTCCTAGATCAGTATACAACAAAAAGCTACCTATGACTACTACCGTATGTTTTATATTGGCCTGCAATGAAATGGAATGTCTCTATTTCCGTTTCTATCAATGTTTCTTGATTTTGACGGATATCTCTGCTAGCGTTAGCATTGTTGCAAACGAACAAGTCGATCAATCTTGGTGTTTAGAATAAAACTATTACACCAAAAATATGTTGTTTATGTCAATGTCTATGTTGCACAGTATCTTTGAAAACAAATGTTGTTTGTCTGGTGTTGTTCGTAGATTTGAGGGAATTGTTCTGACATTGGCACCAACAAAAACACAACTTGATTCTGATTCTGAGAAGGATTGGGAAGAAGTTGTAAGGTTTTCTGTTTGGAATTTAAGATGTTACCAAGGGGAAAAGGGCAGTTTGAGATGTATGAGTAATTGTGATTAACTGTCAACATTGATAGCTATTGGCCATTTTGAATCTCACTCAGTGTACTTTTTGTTTTATTTGCAGGCAATCCTGTCACCCTGACACAGGCTATTTCAGGCTGAAACACATTGTTTATTCTTTTTGGCAACTCATTTCCCCTTTTATTTCCAGATTTCAACAACTCGACCAAGCATTTGAACTAGCCATGTTCATGTCACATCCCACCTCTCTGGCCTTAAGACTAAGTCTGTGACCCCCCAACCCCCCCCCCCACTGAGCAACTGTGGTGGCAGAGCTCTGCAGCTGGGACGTGTAAATAATGCCCTGTTGTGCGTTAGCCTCCATGAAGGGAGGGATCACAGTGGCGTTCCAGTCTGCAGGACAATCTTCCCCACTAGACAGACAGTCTGGACCTCAAGGGTAGCAGTTGCTCATCAATGCTCACAAGTAATGTCATAAAATACCCATGTGCTGGCTTGTTGACTAACTTAACTGAAGTCTTTGTATACGTTAGCTGCTCTACATTCCTCAGTCACTCTCTGCCTGCTGCTGCACAGTAAAGAAACTGACAGTTAAGGTAGGGCAAATAAATAACCCTGTCTTATTCCTTATTTATTCCTCTAATTCAATGAGGGCAAATATTATTTTGTCAACAACACCTATGGATACATAGGTTGGATTTGTAGTCTTTTTTGTAGCCACAGCAGTCCAACAACTACTACTGCACATGTAGGAAGAGCAGGGTGGCATTATTCTGGTAAACAGGATATCTCTTAATAATCTCACAAATGTGGATGGAAGTCCACTCTACATTTGTATCAAAACACATGCTATGTTTGGTCTTTTAAGCCCCTTTTACACACATATGTACTTGCTTATTGTAGACATGTTGCACCTGTGTTGACATTAGCCTCCCTACAAGTAACACAAAGGCATTGGACTCCATAACTCAAACATGTAGTTCAGAGGTTTAAATGACTTGTTTTAGATAAATGTGATACAATATTTTGTATAGGATCAGTGTAGCAATACAAATGAATCTAATTCTTATTTCCTAGTATGTCAGCTAGACTTTTAACATATCTTCTATCTGAAGTAGTAACATACAGATACATTTTTTTTAAATATAAGTTAGACTCAGCAGCTAGAAACCATGACCATGACTAAATGTGGTTGTTGTTTGAGAAAATGTTGAAACCAGAACAGAAAGTCACATGGTGCGAGGCAGACGGATGGACACAGGAAGCAAGGGGATAAACATCAGGCTGTAATTTGATGAAAAATAAACCAGACATGTTTATCTTACACGTTGTGGTGAGAGAAACCTCTAAACAGAACCCTTGCTAAAGTTATGAGTTTGAATTGTACTATTATTATTTGATTTAGTTGTTAGTTGCCTTTTAAAAGTATATGCATATCAGACACTTAAACTGCGTACGCATGGACAATGTATCTGAATCTCAGATTACAGATTAAATACAAAGTAATTGCAGTCTTCCTTGTTGCCAAGTCTGCAAAGATCTGGCAGTAAATCACTTATCTTTAGTTACAGTCAAACAACAACAGCTATGGAGCTAGGATTTGGTACAGTTTGGGGATTTCTTCCATCTTGGGGATTTATTTATCCAAACAATTGGATGCACCCATGTGTCATCGGGCATGTACACAGGAGCATCTGATGTGGTCGGTCATGTTGAGTTAACGCCCAGGACACTTTAGGCCAAAACTCACGCCAGATGGGGAGATCAGCCGCAAGTGTTCCTCAGAAACCACAGCTGTCTTGAGACTGAAGGGTCAGCAGAATGCTGCAGTGTCTGACAGGGAGGAAGGAAAAGAGAGTGAGAGAGAAAGAGGCAGAAAGTGAGAGAGAAAATGACCTGATCTACATTGTTAAGGGAGAGGATTCTCTGGAAGATGACAAATGAACTAAAGTACAGAATAAGGCATGTAATAACATCAACGTAGCAACATTTTAACTCTGGATCAATACTTAGTAGTATATCAGATATTATCCCTTTTTTACAAAAACATATTGAAAATCATACCAAATGTTGCGTTTGAAAGGAAACCCTCACATCGTCAGAAATATGTACAGATGACGTGTTTCTCCGTGTTTCCAGTCTTCTTGTAAGATAAATAAATCATATATTAATTAGCTTTGTAATTAATGAGATGCTTATGATTCAAATGTTGTCATCATAGTCAAGACTTGTATTTCCAAATCTGCTAAACTATCCCCAAACTAAATATTTTTAAGAATAGTTTTTCCCGTTTCAAATCCTTTTATTCATTAGATATGATTTAGAATGTCATAGATTGTGAAAATAAGAATATATGTTAGCTCGCATACTTCTTTACAAAGTATGCATTCATTTATAAATGATTACATTATTTAGTTGTGTGGGCCAACAAGAACCTTTCCAAAATAAAACGGTGGTAGGCATGGGTTTTTCAGATAATCTGTATCTTGTTTGATGGTCAGAATGGTGTATCTTGTTTGTCTTTTGACTTGCTAAGATTCTAGGTGAAACTTGATTCACTTTTGATAACAAGATATAACAATAATAAACACCTCATACAAAAATACTGTAATTTCCTTGCAAAAGCCCATTATGTTGAAGCTTTGGTTAACTTAATTTCAGAACCAATGCAAAAAAAAAGAAATCAGACACAGTAAAACCAACACTTTTGACATCTCTGCAGCAGTTGTGAGTGAGTGAGAACAGACTGTTGTTCTTGTAACATGGTACAATACCCTCTGCCTGACCTTTTGGCTTCTGTGTTTGTTTTCTGTTCTCAGTAGCCCACCACGACCCAGAGAACTTCAACTGCAGCTTCATCGAGCCTCCGTCAGTGGCCGAGCAGCCCTCCCCCTCCTCCTGGTCGTCTCAAGAGTCTTTCTCTTCCTTTGAGAGCGGAGACGAGGGGCCAGTTTACAGTGTGCCCCATGAAGGTGAGTCATCGCTTGAATAAATAAACAGTTTAGTTATCTCGTTATGACGCACATAAATCCCTAATTTGTCTTTGGCATGTAGGAGCCTTTGCATAAACACTGATAGACATTGTTTTTTCTGAAGTCAAGATCCCCAACTTGACTCACCGGCTTCTGTAGATCTCATTATGGAGATAGTTCCTTTATCATATGTGATCTAGGCCCATGTTTTTGCTCCAAGAATGAGGAGAGTATAAACAGGAAATGGAATGGTCAAGTCAGCACATGGCACAAATCCAAACAATGACTAACTCCTTGAAGTTTGATGGAAAACACCCATTTAATCAGTTTCTATTCTGGAAGTCTGACAGTACACGTCGGGTTTTGTATCGGGGATTTGTGTGTGTGTTGAGTGATTGTTTGATGGGTTTTTAGTGTTGTCTAAATAGTTTGGTTTGGTTATCATTCTTCTTATGGTTGGTTCAAGGGCTTTGAAACAATTGATTTTGATTAAAAAGCCTTGGGCATAACAAGTATTGTTGTAAACATCACAAAAGGGTTCTGAAATAGAGTTGATAGGATCTGGATCCGGGCCTCTCTAGCCTTATGTGTTTATAAAGTAGCAATTGAAGTGGTTGAGCTTTACGTTTTTTAAATAACATGTTTTATTTTCTTGTGGAAAGACAAAAAAAGTCTCCTTAACAATGTAAACAATGCTGATATTTGTGACCTGCTCTATCGAAATCAGTAGCATTGACCCGAAGACACATTTTGAGTTGTATACACTGCTGGAAAGAGGATATTCCTAGCTTTCTAATGATATCAGGATTGTTTTTGTACTCCAAATATTAAGCAAAATATGTCACATTATATAATGACTGTCACCGAGACATCATTTTGAGAAAAAGGCCTTCAAAGTTTTCTCTTCTCTGAAATCCATCAATCTGATTGATTATTAGTGGAGCAAATGATCAAAATACTACGGAGGGAAGATATTTTCGTTTGGAGGGAAGCTTGCGAGTGTGTGTGTATACGTGTGCGTGTGTGTGTGTTTTTGCGTTTGTGTGTAGTGTTTGTTTCCCGGGGAAAACACTCACGAGAAACTCCGGCTGTTGTTATGCCTGCTGTGACTTTAAGTTACTCCGTTCTCCGCTTGTAATTATGCCGAAGCTTCAAAGCGGTATTTATCATCTGAATTTGCCGAAACAAGTTTAATATTCTGAAAGCCAAGACTTTTTTTAATTGAAATCAGATGAAAACAAACTGTAACTGACCCTGCCGTGTTATCTATGATTACTATACTCTTACATTCATAATTTCAGCCGGAGGGAGGGGGGGGGCGGCGCTGCGGAAGAGCAGATTGCGAGTGAGAGGTGCCTGTCTTCGTCCCTTTACAAGCTTCAAAAATGTATTTATCGTGTGATTTTGGAAATAAAAGTTTCATATTCTGAAAGCCAAGACTTTGTTTGTTTAAAATCAAACAAAACACCCGAACCCCGAAAAAATAGTTTTTTACGTAAATCCACGTTTATTTTGAAATGAGCCGTTGCGACTTCCGACTGATTTCGATAGAGCGGGTCACATTTGTGAATGTCACATATGTAAGCCATTGTTTTTTAAGACTCAGATTTAAAAGCTTTCCTTAAAGGGGACCTATCATGCAAAATGCACCTTTGTACGTCTTTTATACATGCATATGTGTCCCCGGTGTGTCAGAAAACAAAACCCTCTCTCTTTTCCACCATACCCAAATCTCTAAAAACGTGGCTGCAGCAGAGCTGATACAGACTGATACAGATTTGAAATTGTTCTGACGTCAGAAACGGGGAGCTCCGCCTATATGGGCAACTCTCCACCTATCAGGGGAATGAGAGGTTGCCGTGGCATGGTAACAGCATGGTAACAGCATGGTAACAGCATGGTAACATCACGCTCGTGCCTCGCCCCCCTCCTTTGCAGGGGGGCGTGGTCAGCTGCAGCTCATTTGCCACATAATCAGCCCTTGCAAAAACAGGGCTGGAATACAGCAAATAGAGCGAAATGAGGTATGGCTAAAATGCATGATCTGTTTGGTATTTTGAAAAAATAAATTCACAGGCATGTTTTATATAGGTATGGCCCTACAATATATTATTCAAATATAGCATGATATGTCCACTTTAATTAATTAATTAATGAACACACTAAACTTGTAGCATTTGTATTGTAATGTCAATTACAATCTGTAAAGCATACAAAATATCATAGACACGATAAATATCTACTACACTGAACAAAAATATAAACGCAACACTTTTGTTTTTGCTCCCATTTTTTATGAGATGAACTCAAAGATCTAAAACATTTTCTATATACACAAAATAACCATTTCTCTCAAATATTGTTCAAAAATCTGAAAAAATCTGTGATAGTGAGCACTTCTCCTTTGCCGAGATAATCCATCCCACCTCACAGGTGTGGCATATCAAGATGCTGATTAGACAGCATGATTATTGGACAGGTGTGCCTTAGGCTGGCCACAATAAAAGGCCACTCTGAAACGTGCAGTTTTGCTTTATTGGGGGGGTCTGGGGGGGTCCGAAAACCAGGCAGTATCTGGTGTGAGGGGTAGGAGTAGGGGTAGGGTTAGGGTTAGGGGTAGGGTTAGGGGTAGGGTTAGGGTTAGGGTTAGGGTAAAGTTGTGAATCGAGTGGCCTGTGTTCGTCGTCCATTACATACGCCTGCCCATACCATAACCCCACCACCACCATGGGCCACTCGATTCACAACATTACCCTAACCCTACCCCTACCCCTACCCCTACTCCTACCCCTCACACCAGATACTGCCTGGTTTTCGGCAAAGCAAAGCTGCACGTTTCAGAGTGGCCTTTTATTGTGGCCATTCTAAGGCACACCTGTGCAATAATCATGCTGTCTAATCAGCATCTTGATATGCCACACCTGTGAGGTGGGATGGATTATCTCGGCAAAGGAGAAGTGCTCACTATCACAGATTTTTTCAGATTTGTGAACAATATTTGAGAGAAATGGTTATTTTGTGTATATAAAAATGGTTTAGATCTTTGAGTTCATCTCATGAAAAATGGGAGCAAAAACAAAAGTGTTGCGTTTATATTTTTGTTCAGTGTATATTGAAAGTTGGTTGACATTAACTAACATCGGCCTTTATAAGCTAGTGATCACAGAATACCAAAAAAGGCCATATTAGCAATCACAAGTGTATTGTCAATAAGCTATGTGTATTTGTAAAAAATATATATTTAAAACGTACTAAGTGTGAATACTGTATAGTGTTGACTAATATCTGTTGATCTTCTAATGATCCACAGAATCTGTGCATGAAAGCAGAGATAAGCGCAGCCCTAGCCCAGCAGCAGAGAACCCAGAAGATGAGGACGATGCAGGGGAGTACACCTCCCTGAAAGACACCAGTGTCTCAAAACTAGAAGGCAGCGAGCAGCCCCTGCTCAAGTCCTCTGACAGTGAAGGCTCCACCAGTGGCTCTGAGTCCAATACTGCAGCCCTCTATGCCCGCATTGCCCGCCTCTCCAAGCAGTCCAAGGAGGACGATGGCAGCGGCAAGGATGGAGATGGCACTCCTACTCCAGAGGCAAAGCGAAATGGAAAGCCACCACCTTCACCTGGCAAGCCCAAACCACGTCCTCCAGACCCCTCCACTAAGCCCAAAGTATCGTGGATACATGGAAATACTACAGGTTCTCCCCAGCCAGAGCAACAGGGGCATGGGGGAATGAAGGCCCTTGCAGTGCCAAAGGAGAAAAAGAGGAGCTCCAGCACTTGCTCAGCCAGAAGCGAGGAGCAGCAGAAAATGAAGGAGAGGAGCCGTGAGCAACAGAAGAAACAAGAGGGGAAGGAGGCAGACATCAATGGCTCCCCTAGCAAACACAAGCCTCTGCGAGGCAAGAAGTCTGGGGATGAGCCCAGCAGTCCCAGTCACATGGAGCACATCAATGGTGTTGTGCAGAATGCCCTCAAGAAGATAAGTAGCTTCCACAACACCTCACCTGAGAAGAAGGGTGCTGACATTCCAAAGGAGACCACCAAGGAGCCACCCAAGAGCCCCAAGGTCATCCACCCTCATATGAACTCTGAGGCTGCCACACTCCTGGCTGCTCAGCTGAAGGAGAAAACCCAAAGCATCAACAGGAACGAGGGGACAGGTTTGACGAAAACCAACGGTCTCTCCACACCCAAGGGAAACCGAGAGAAGCCAACACCTCCACAGAAAGCCAAGAGGACCCCCTCCAGCGGATTAAGCCAGCAGGGCTCCACCAAGCCCTTACTGCCAACTTCAAACAGCCTCCAGAAAATGGTGGCTCCAGTCGCCACCGACCTCGGGACCCCTGAAGCCAAGAGCCCGGAGAAGCAGGACTTGAACGGCTCAAGGGCAGGGGACCCGATGTTTGATCCCACGCCAAAGAAAACTCCCATGAAAAAGCCACCAAGGAAGAAAGGCAAGGAGGGTACTTTGGATACATCGGAAAGTAAAACGCCCCATCAGCAAAAGACAGCCATCATGCCACCACAGGTAGTGAAATAAGGGTTTTTAAAGACAAATGACCAACGTGTTTGATGGATTTCAAAGAGACTAAAATGGATTTGTTGTAAGGTGAACCATATCGTTTTTCAATCAAGGGACATTTTCTATGTAAGTGTGTTGCGACTCCAGGACTAGGAGTGAGAAATACTTTTAAATCAAGGGCGTAATTGAGCCAAATTGGTGAGTTGTATTATTATGACCTCTATACACCATTGTATTACATTTCAAGGATCGTTTATCATATAATGACTATGCAACATCCTCCATAGTTCATTCATCTCTATTCCATTGCAGTATTTCCACCACTATATTTATATATGGATTGCTTTTGAGGTTGCATAACTGTAATTCTCTATGCAGGTGTAGGAAAGAAAGCTATTTTTTATGTGCGCTATCCAAAGGTACTAATGGTACTTAAAATAACCAGAACATTTGATCCTTTTAGGATTGCAAGCTATTTTGATTTATTTGTTAAGTTTGTGGACCAAGATACATTAATACAGTTCAATACTTGTCGATTAAGAGCAACACTTGAAGTGTGAATTGTTGGGGAATTTCTTCAGCAAAGAAATAACCTTTTTATGTTCCTTGGCTATTTTGCTATTATATCAAAGTTTGATATACCAAAATATAAAGAAACATTATTCTTTGAACAACTTAATTTGACATCCCGAGTATGCCACATTTAGGATCTAAAAGTCCTCTGTTCTTGTAAGTCACACTTAATTCCTCATTGAGTTTTAGGGCTCTTCCCTTAGACCTTTTTTTCAATTTTGGATTTTAACACTTAGCTCTCCTTTGTTTAACTCTGTCAGACAATGTTTGTAGAAACCCAAACAAATGCTTTGATTTATCTGCAAAAAGGGCTGCTTTAAACCTCTTTCATACTTGGGCTAACACCAAATCACTAGAATGTGCTCTTACTGTACGATTTATTCAGTCAGCTAAACCACTAAACCAAAAATAAAATCCCAAGCTATCTGATCTCCTCACTTTGTCATGCTTAGAAATCATTTAAAACAGAATCCTTTCTCTGTACTACAGCAACATCCACAGTGTATCTATGCTGTATTTGAGTAAAACATACTACAGGACACCCCATAAATCAGATGCAGTAAATATTTTTTGTTAAAGCAATAACTGTTGGTAGAATTCTCGACAGAGCCGACTACAAGAGGAGACTGCCATGTGTCTTTATCTGCTCTTTTAGTTTAGTCGAGAAACTAGGTCAATATCCCAAACTGAGCTACTCCCTTTCACATAAATTTGTTTATGCCATCGGGGAATTAAGTGGAAAAACATCTTGTCACGGATGTTTTGCCCCTTAAGGATCGTATTATCTTAAGCTAGTAGACTTATGCTAAAGGTTGCTTCGATTTAATTTGTTTTAAGGGTAGGTCAGTAAGGTTAAGTGGTACCATGCCTTGAGCTTTGAAATGTGCCTCAACTGTAGATCAGTTTAAGCAAAGAAGCCATGTTTGCCTTAATGTTGTTGCCAACTTTTATTTCAAGTGTAGATCCTAAAATAATTATACCAAAAAGTTGGTGGGGTGGAATACTTGAACTGGAATAATTCAGTTTGTGTCACTTATTGGTGGAGAGCTATTTTGAAAGTAGCATTTAATCATGATTGCTAAACAATGGATGATTGTTATGGTTATGGTGATTATGGCATGTTTGTTAATATGCCATTGGTATGTTTGCGGTTGAAGAATATTTTAAATTCAAAGCTAATTGAATTTTTTTCTTGGTTTTATGTGTTTATATCAAGGTACAACGCATTTCTTTGGTTATTTTTTCAACATTTTCTACTTGTATACATTGTGTACTTTTATTATCTTTGTAAGCTGTGCTTATATGACCTTTGTAGTTCTGTTTTCCTTGGTGTCAATGAACTGGCTTTCATGTTGTATTTGCTTTTCCTTTTTCTTTTGTTATGTTGCTTATTCTAAGCTCTGAAGCAAACCTACAGTATGAGTACTTTCCACCTTGTAAAGTTTACATTGGCTTTGTAATTGTTCTCTGTTGATGTTATTGTTTGTTTAACACTTAACTGCATGACGCAGATTGTAATTATACAGCATTAATAGCTGCACCGGAAATCTGTAACTTTTTGTTCCCTTCAGTTGTTATGATTGCCCCCATAAATAAGATAAACTCATACGGAAAGGATTGTACAATACTACTATGATACCACTGTTGAAATAATTGCATATACTTAAAAACATAACTTTGTGTTATTTTGAAGTGGCAATTTTTATCTGACTGGCCCATGCCTGTTTTTATAGGTACACAGTGCATTTTTGTAAAGAGGAGCCTGAAAAGCTGCAGAAACGTTACCAACTGTAAGGTATATTTTGTCTTTTGTGGTTTGTGTTTAGCGACATTGATTTCCATTTGTGTAAGGGTATTAAATTGGTGTTTTCTCATTTACTTCTTTGGAATAAAAAAAGCAATACATGTAGCTGTATAAAAAACAGAAGTTAAATCTCATTTAATCACTTTGCAATGTCATTCATCATACACTAATTGACCTGATACATTCTCATGGGGGCATGCCCTCTCCTTGGCATCTTCTCCAAATGTCTTGTTCCTGTGTACATTCAACTAATAATAATATGGGTAATATGCCACATACATCTCTTATTGTATCCTTCAAACAGATTCATTCTAAATCTGATTGATATTTGACCCTTTCCTGTGACTCTGGGCTACCGGGACGTGGCAGGAGTCCGCCAGAGTCATTGGGTCACAGCGGCTCTTCAAAGAGCCTGAGGGAACCAGGGAACTGTTCATATGGCTCCTTCAGGATGCGGGGACAAGAGCTCCTTTCATGAGAGGGGGAAACAGTGGAAAGTCTGTGCTAAGGAGTTAATCACGCGCTGCATATGTGTCCTCTTTTGGCGGGGAGAAGAGGGATATAGCAGCACTGGGCCGCAAGGCAAAGCAGGAGCATTAATGGATGGATATAAGCATGGATGGATAGGTCATGTGATGGGTAATTGAAACCAGAAGGCGAAAAAACTGTGTCTACTCTTTTGACATGGTGTTCTACTTACTGTGTATATGTGGGTTACTAATACAAAATGTTATAATGATTTTTCTCGACCCGCGTTAACTTTGAGTCTGATTTATGATCCACTTTTTTTTTTTCCTCAGAGACTTGCCTGTTACTATTTTGCCTTGTCTTGATGTTGACAACCAAGGTCTGCAATTGGACCTTAACAGACTTTTCTAAAAAGATGTTTAACTAACGAAAGTTTGCATTTCTTCTTTTTCTCTAGAGCAGATCTAGCAATTGAATATTGACACTTAGTATGTAGCCTTTTTAGCTATGGCACTTTAGCTCAAAGGTTGGCAATGTCAGTTGTTTAGCTATTTGTATCTTGTTAAAATTGTTTTAACAACTACGGAATGGATTGTCTTAAAATGTTCTGTAGTTATTCATGTCTTAAATATTTTATTCATGGGTATTGGGTGCTGAATCGTTATGCCTTTTCTCCTTGGACCACCATGATGTTAGATTTGCTATTTTAAGTTAAAGGTATCAACTATACTATTTAATGGATTGCCATAGAATTGGGTTTGGACATTTTAGGACCCTGAATACTTAATTACAATACGTTTATTTTATCCCTAAAATGTTAATGCTATTGACATTCTATTCAGCCTAACCTGTATTTTATGTTGAGAGCTATAGAGTGGCGAAGTCACACCCATCTACTCCATGTCCATGGGACCTTATTTCGGAAAAATAATGTATTGAAGTCACTGGAGAGAGAAAACGTATCTTTCGATCCCGTTTGAATTGTGCCATGAATTACACATATGATGTTTGTCAATCTTAAAAAAATCATTTCCATGTAAAAAAAAGTCACAGTTTGTCGTAAAACAAAACAAAAACCTGTTAATGTACGCATTCAAACACTTTTTCTTTTGCCAGCTGTATTCACCTTGCAGGTACAGCTATGTGGCTTTTATCCTGGATAAAGTGTTTAAGTCATGGATGTTTAAAGTTTAACTTCTTAATTTTTGACTAGTATTAAAGTTCACTTTTCATTCAGGAAGTATGACGCTGCGCTGTCAGTACGCTTCTTCATGTTTGTGATTGGTCGAATGCTCAAAATACCACCCCTTTCATGTGAACGCGCACCTAACTAGATAGGAAATGGCTGGCTTGAGCGATCCACTTGATAACCAGCGTCGTAGTACAGTTTAGCGAGAGCGCGTATGTTTTGGATTAGGCCAACCGGCTAACTCAAACATATCCAGGTTAGGTTGAACCAGCTTCGTAGTAGGCCCCTGGTCCCGACCAGGTTAGCCGCTAAGCATAAGTTACCATGGAGATCTAGCCTGCTAAAAAGAGAACCAGCTTCGTAGGACCGGAAAGCCGGAGTTTTCCCTGAATTTAGCCGGCTAAGCGAAAATCCTGCTTCGTAGTATACCCCCCCTGGAGTGGCTAGATCAAGTTAGCTACCTATCTAGTAGCTAGCACGTTAGTTAGCATTACAGCCTTGTCATTTTTATTAGCCTTAATATGAAGTAACATTAAGTAACCCAAAATGTTAAACATTAAGAGTAGTAGTCATATTTCGTGAAACCTTTGAAGAGTACATTCACCGGTGTGATCATTCTATAATACACAATTTAAGCCTGAGGGAGAAATGCTAAAGCTAGCATCGCCGATCTTTTCTACTTCATGCTATCTGCACAAATGGTTGACATTAAACATTAAAAAGACCAGGCAGTTCAGAGAGAATCAAAGGAAGGCAGGCAGGCAGCTTTGCATGACATTCTTCTGGACATGTTTCATTGTGGTGATAGTGAGGGTAGTCAATCGTTTTGTTGACAAGACAGTAGTGACGCACATCTTAGTGATGTGTGTTGTTCTGCGAGACCAGAGATGTAGTTCATTGAGCGTTTCACACAAACAAATGTGTTACTTCACAGTTTTACACATTTGTTTTTTTGGACTCGCAAAACTATTTTTTAAATTGACAAACATCATATGTGTAATTCGTGGCACAATTCAAACGGGATCGAAAGATAATCTTTCTCTCTCCATTGACTTCAATACATATTTTTTTCTAAATAAGGTCCCATGGAGGTCCACCGGAAGGGGAGGGACTTCGCCACTCTATAGCTATTGATAGCATGTAAACACACTAAACTAGGACAGAGAACATGGTAAACATTATACCCACATAAACATTGCCATTGCAGCATGTTAGCATGCTGGTGCTAGCAGTTAGCTCAAACAACCAATGTGTACAGCCTGAGTGGTTTAAGTCTTTCAATTTCCTCCCCAGCTATAGACCTGGTCTTGATTCTCAAATCACTTTAGGCTTACGCTCTTATAAGGACCATCAGCCTAACTCTAGCCCCCCCAACCATCTCATTTTTCATGTGACAATGGCTTGAAGTTTGATTCATTGCCAATATGGAGAGGAATGTTGACACAACTGCCTCCATCTGCCCATCCTCAACTCACAGATGGAGGAGATTCCCAGCTGAGCATACCAACACATGGTCTCTGGCTCTTCATCCTTGACATGCTGTGGGAAAGTCACAGCTTGGAAATCAGCATTGCGTGTCACCACTGCACAGCATTTCAGGATAAACTGTGTTGATAGAGCATGTGTACGACATACGTGTGTGGTGGATTTCTGTGCCTGCTGCTTTTAAATGGATGTAAAAGGGGGAGGCCTGTGTATGATTATGGAGCTTGGCCTCTTCATATCCCCTGTGTAGTTAGCTAAGAGTCATATTTTGTTCAGTTTATTGAGTTGGTATTGAAGGTTGATGTGTGAAACATAAATTCGCTCTTGCTCTGCAGTACAAAGGAGCGACTGTACATGATAACTTAAAGCTTGGTCAAAAAGTCACGGTTAGTAGTGTGGGAAGGGGGGGTTCGATGACATGTTCTGCTGCCAGTCTAAACATGACTTGGAGCTGGGGCGCCCTCAGTTTCCCAGGTCCATCGAAACAGCAAGGCTTTAAAACTCAGGCCCTATGAGTCAGCCAAAAGCCCTGGACTCAGAAAACCTATTCCAGTCCCTGTGTTTCCATGGCAACGGGAACAGATTGGAACCACATCTGGTAGCCATTTCAGTCCCTGCAAGGAGAGGAAGAAAGAAATGTATGAGTGAGGGGGAAAAAGACAAATATTTTCTGCAATGCAAAGCAGAAAGAAAGTGGAGTCGAGTTACACTTGAAAGGGGTTCCTGTTAAGCCCCGAGCCTGTTTTTCAGGTCTCAGGCTCGAAAATGACGTTCCCAGAACAAATGACCATAACTTAACTTCTAAAAGGGGTAAATTAATCATCTTTGTTCTCAAAGCAATGATAAACCTGAGAGTTGGATGTAGAAGAATCAATATAGATTTTTTTTATTTTAAAGTAAATTCAGATAACATTTTTTAAATCATTGTCCGTCCAAAAGAAAAATATTACTTATAGTGAAAACCACCCTTGAATGATGGGATGGTAGACTAAAAGCTTTAGGAATCTAAAATATAATAACTACCCTGTATCAAGATTGATGCTAATCAAATGAAATGTGACCTTTTTAGAGAGATTTAGCAACAAAAAAACACTTCTGGGGTCATTTGGGTGGATTTGACCTATCTCTGGCCCCCCTTGGTCGATTTTGATGATTGACATCTCTTTTTAACCGTTAGAGCCAATGGAATCGAGGGGAAGTTCCACATACACAAACACGTTACCAAATAAGGAGTGAGAGTGACGCGTAACCAAAACAGGAAGCTGTCATACACTCTGGAAGCTATCATTAGCAGCTAATATGAAAACTCAGTTTTTGACATAAAAATGGAATTATGGATTATCAATAATTTTTTCAAAGTGACAGACACATTGGATTAACCTTCAGCCGCGTTTTTCTCGTTTTAATGCCATTGAACACACATTTTGATCAGAATAACAGCAAAAGGTGAGCATATCTCAGTTTTTTGCTACCTCAAGCTACGTCATGAGTTGTCTGGTTTTGCTTCCCCTGTCGCGAGTTCTGATCGCTCAGTGATGATACTTATATTTATAGAATCTGTGGAATCTCAGTTTGCTAGCAAAGCTTGTTTGTGCAGATCCTATAAGTATATCGATCGATGTATACCTAGAGTTCTGTGTTAAGTGTGTTAGAATGTTTTCGCTCAGGGCTCATTTAGACGCTTCTTGTGAGACTTGTGTTTTGTTTCGGTAAAAATGGTTCATATAGTCAGTTAGCTTAGTTTCTTCCCGTTAAGTGAGTATGACACATTCATAGTTTATTAGCCGTTGGGGGGCTCTGGGGCTTAACAGGTAGGCGTTCAGTGCAGAGAAGCCTCTATTAGCATGCATGGCTAGATATTCTCAAGAAAGGCAAGTCTCTCATGTGGTTTAAGAAATATTTTTCTGTTCGAATACCTTATGTGTTCCCAAAACCTTTGGCTGAAATGCTTGTGTGTTTTGCTAACTTTCCTTATTTCTTG